ACACACACACACACACAGAGAGAGAGAGAGAGAGAGAGAGAGAGAGAGAGAGAGAGAGAGAGAGAGAGAAAGAGAGAGAGAGAGAGAGATGAAAGAAAAATGAGACGCCATCAGCGAGTGTTGCTGTGCACCGCGGCATAGCCGTGGCGGGTTCCACTTGTTGGGGTAGAAGTTGAAACTCCTAGATGATAGGACACTAGTGTAGAGGATACTAATTGAGTCAGGAGGACAATCTGAGAAGGGAGTGAGTTTCATTTCATCCCAAGAGCCCGGCCACTCAGGTAAGTGTCGTGCCGCAAGGGTGCCCATGTGTGCGAGCATGGAATTGACTGGTTGTTGGGGTATTCTGGGTTCTTCTCCCATCCTCTATGGTCTTAATCTTGTGTTGAAGTGTGTGAACTGCTTTCTCACCTGATGAGTGAATGGACGGAGTATCCTGTGCGCAATGCCGTATCTTTCTACAATACTTCATTTATTTCATTCTGAACGATTGTAGTCTGTACATTTTCTTTCAGGAGTTGAAATTCGTTTTTCGGTACGGTAGGCACAAAAAGTAGGTCTTTGTGGAACTCTTATTAGGACCCAGCCTTGACTCAACTAGGACCTTTCTGGACACAGTGGGATTGGTCCCAAACAAGAACGGCCTCTTAGGCCCAAATCTGTTGATGTCAATCACCTTGCTCTGCCTTGTTGGGAATCGGAGTTCATGCTTTCGAACCAGGACACTCGCTGCTGAGGGGATCTCAGCTGAGACATTTCACAAACTTTATTGCACAGTCCGCCACTTGACTCACACCTTAGACACCACTCAATTCTCTCTTCATTGTGTAGTACACTTTGAATTTGATTTGTTGTGCTTTTACGGGACTGAGTTCGATTAGGCTTGAGGGGATCTCATACGTAGTCGGACCAGACTGTGTTGCTGAATCAGATCCCTCTGATTTAATTTAATTTTTATTTTGTTTTCTCTCCAGTCCAAATGAACTGCCACTCCAGCTAGGAGTTCCACCTTCTGTTCTAATTGCTTTCACACTGTTTCTATCACTGGGTTGACAAATGACTGTACTGACACAATCACAAACAAAAGAGAGGGAGAGAGAGAGAATTGATCCTCTTTCTTGAGGGTGTCAAAAAAGGTAAACGGAGTGTTCGTCCGAAGACAAGGGCAGAGAGTACTTACCTTGAGAGACTTCCCAGACCTTTTCTGACTTGCATGTTGAAAGCCCCACTAGGGCTAACATGGCAGTAGAAGCAGCAAAAGCTTCAGTGAGTCTGAAGGCACAAATGGATGCCGCAGACATAGAGGATAAGCCGCTCTTTAAGACGCTCTGTAAGAATGCACTGAAAAAGGAGGTGAAGTTGGAGGAAGAGGCGCCAGAGGGAAGGAGGAAAGCCACTATACAGGGCCATAAGGATGTGTTCAAAATTGTTCCCTCCATACCGGATGATGAGATAGAGCCACACTTGATTATGTGCGAGGACTAATCGACTGCCACATGATGCACCCTCTCCCCGGCTTGGTTTACCAAATGTTTGATCAGGAAAAGATCTGCGGGAAACCATAACCCGGATGGAGAAGGCCCACAATGACCAACTGCAAAAAATTGCAGATCTGCACCAAGTTAATCTTAACCCCCCACTTCTGCCAAATGCATTGAATTATGCTGCCTTGTCTACCACCTATGCCCCTCTCTTCTCTTCTTCATCTTTGAGCTTGACGAGTTTAACACTTGCGACAGGTGCACCTTCCACTGTTGTTACACAAAATAGCGGCGCAGGGAGCTCTGCAACTGGTGCAGTCCCAGATCCAGTTCCTGCAGATCCAGGCCTCAGCAATGGCTTTCCCTATGTACATTAGAAGGCGGCCGTGTTACCGCCTAGATACGACGGGAAGGACGATGTCATGTCCTGGCTCGCGGCTATGCGAGCATACTTGGACATTTTGGGAACTCCCCCGGTTACTCGATCGGTTGTCATGGGAACCAATGTCGTGCCCGAAGTATGGAGCTAGGTAAAGCTCCAACCCATACAGGCCGAATACGCCAAGAGATCACTGAGATCACTGCACTCGAGGAACTATTCATTAAACGCTATCACAATCCGCACGCTGCAGCAAGAGCAAAATATCAACTTGACTATGCCAAACGCAAGTGGGCCAAGAGTATGAAAGACCTAATGACACATCTCAACAATCTTTTTGCCACGCCTGACTTAGAAATGACAGCACAATCATGTTTAGATGTTGTCAAAGGCACGGTACCCTCGACCATTACTAATCATCTTGGGCTAGACTGGACGAATACAAGGACTAGCTTTCCCTCACAAAGGACGTAGTCAGGCTAGAGGCACAAAACCTCTTCCACGCCGCAGGTAGCGTCAAGAAGACCTTTGGTCGCAAACGGCATGGAGGCAGCAACTGTTTCGCATCACAAGACCTGCTGGAGTCCGATGATCAGGCTGGTGCTGATGGTTCTACTCTTGGTGACAATCAAGAGCAAGATGCTGACCTGGTGTGCTCTTCGGCTTACGAGTCTGAAGCTGCAAAAAAAGATGAATCAATAAATGCCTTTAAAAAGACTGCATTCAAGAGTAAGGGGCCGAGGAACTCGGTGAAGAACAATACTAACACCATTCACCTCCCCAAAGGAGCAAAGATTACACCCAAACCGGAGGATCTTGCCACAAAACCATGAGTAGATCTCCGGATTAGTGAAAGTGAGTGGAAACACGGGATCAAAGAGGTTTGCCTGCATTGCACCAAACCGGGACATTCAGTCCAACAGTGTTTCAAATTGCAACAGGGAAACCAGCAAAGGGGGTAGAGATATTATCAGCACACTCTACAAAAGGAGGGGCTGAACAAAGTGCAGGTCCTTCTACGGACTCTGATCCCGCTCAACATCCTCTTTTGAGAAACCACCAGATGCTGATTCCAAGGCTGAGAAACTGCATATCCTTTACAAGGATCCTTAGGTGGAGTTGGAAGAGATTGACTTTCATGCTCTCTTGCTGCACTGGGCTCAGATGAAGCAAGAGCGCGCGCATGGGAAAACGAGGTTGATCTTCTTCAAGCTTCACAGTAATGGTCGATACAGCAATGGCTGATTGTGGCGCAACCGCCAACTACTACTCGCCTCACGGCATTCGTAAGGCACGCTTGGGAATGAAGTGCAGAATCCTTGTCGGACCCAAGTGGGCAACCACGAGGTTGTTACATCTACGCATGCAGTCAAAGGTGTGCGCCCTACCTTTGATGCAGACCGCACAATCACACATGAGCTAAACTTCTGTCCTTTATAAATGCCCCTTCAACGTGGTTATTGGCTTAGGCTGGTTGCAAGCCAAATGTGGAAGAACCACGTGGAAGGACTCACAATTCATAGTCAAAGATGCCATGGGGATCGAGCGTCTAGTCCTCTTCGACAAACCGCGCCAGTCCCAAGTGACTTTTCTCAACACAATGAAATTTTGCAAGAAGTGGCGTAGGCACAAAATGATGCGCAAATGTAAATAGTCTTTGTTAGGCCTGCTCATGTGCCTTGTATTTTTGCTGTACATAATGGTTCTACTTTGCATACTGTTTCTACTTCCAATGCAACTATTTCTACCTCTATTGAATCTATGCCTAGTCAAAACGGTTCTACTCCAAATCCTGCTGTTTTGGCTGCACCTATGCAGTCCGATATGCTTGCACCAGATTCTGATTCGCCAACTCCGGAGAGCCCATCAGAGATCCGCAGTCTTCTAAACCAATTCCCATAAGTTTTGGCCGAGCCACGTGGAGTTCCCGTGCATCCAGTCCAACACAAGATCGAGTTGATAGAAGGCAACACTCCTCCAAAAGGCTGTGTCTATCGAATGGGCTCAGGCAAATTGGAAGAGTTGCCAAGACAGATCAATGACATGCTTGAAAAAGGATGGATCAAGCCGAGCGAATTCGAATTCGGTACACCAATTTTGTTTGTTCCTAAGAAAGGAGGCAAACTATGAATGTGTATTGATTGCTGCGGACTGAACAGAATAACGAGGAAGAATGCATACCCTTTGCCATGCATTGATGATTTGCTTGATGTTGCGGGTCGATGCAAGGTCTTCAGGAAGATCGACCTTAAATCTGGTTATCACCCGATTGAAGTCGACCCTGCAGACCTCGCACAATAAACATTGGGTAAAATACTATATGATGATGAACTCCATCGGACGGCATCCCAAAGTAGTTAGGAAAACTTACTGGACATTTTTTTGCAAATATCAGCTCACCTCGGCTGAGCATAACCATTACTACTTGCGTTGCATAGCAAGGCAAATTTGCAATGCAAGGTGGTAACCACTTCAAAATGTGGCCTGGAACAAATATCAAATGTCAATGTTGTTTGAACTTTGAAACTTTATGATGAGACTATGATGACCAGGGGCACAGCTCCATGCCAAACAGGGTGAGCATCTGGGGAACAAACTGCAAACATGGACTAGATGGATGTGTTTCAGAGCCTTCTGGTCACATACACTTCGCAATGAAAGAATGGAACATAAAATATGAACCAAGAATAGAATGTGGAGGCAAAGAGGGCAGGAGCAAGACGGGTTTTATTGGGGGGGGGGGGGGGGGGGGGGGGGGGGGGGGGGGGGGGGGGGGGGGGGGGGGGGGGGGGGTGGAGTGGTAAGGCTCTGGTGGTCCTCCAGGGGCCATAACAGAGAATGATGGGGGCACAGGAGGAAGCGAAACTGGCAACTGAACCACACACCTTGCCTCCCACAGAACTCGATGCCTGGCGCACCGGCGAATCTGAAGGGCTCTCCTGGCGAACAGAATACAGAGGTGGTGATAAAGAACCTTGTCTGTCCCCCCTGATCACATCTTGCCTCACTGATGAGCCTGCTGGAGAATCAGGTCGTGGGCCTCGATTACCACCTGCATAGACAGGGGGTGATCGAGTTCCTTGACCATCTGGGCGCAGCACGTCTTGTGATTGACCTGGTGTAACATCTCGCATGACTGATGCAAATGTAAGCAGCTCTGCACAAACGGTTGAAAATGCCAGCGATCGGCAAATCTGCTCAGCTCAAAAGATGCACACAAGCATCATGTCCATTCCAACTCCACGCAAGTCGTGGTCAAGTTGTACACATCTACATTAGTAGGCAAACAGTTGACAGTCACAGGTTCACTCATGGTACAATGCATAGTGCACACACTCCTTTTTCCCTTTTTTCACAAAACTGTTGTGTAATATGGACCCAAATATTGGGCATTGAGTGGCAGACTCTCTCTCTCTCTCTCTCTCTCTCTCTCTCTCTCTCTCTCTCTCTCTCTCTCTCTCTCCCACACACACACCATGCAGCGGTGCTCTGTTTCGGAAATATGGTGTTACGAGCTGTGATGCAGGTCGCATATCATATCAAGGAGTTGAAGCGGCTGGCCATGCAAATTTACAGAAGGATGGGAAAAGGAAAAGGAAAGCCTACAGGGTGCTTTGCTCATGTTTCCTGAGCAAAACTTTTTTTCGAAGTAAGCTGTGACTCTCTGTGAGAAATACATCGCCCAAGCCAATAGGAAGCTAAACTTTTTCAGTGCATGTGCGTGTGTTGTCATTGTTCCCTGTACACAACACCACAACAAGAGCATGAGTATGCCGGACTGTTTCATTGCAGTTTCCCGTACTCGTCAGGCGGTTGAACCCTGACAGTCTGCCCATGATGCATTTTACTGATGGATACGGACTCACCATGTCACCCAGAGTTAGCAACATCCCTGACAAACGCGGTCGACTTTACTCACACCAACTCTGCAATCCTAGCAGATTGTCGGTCCAAACCCCTTACAAGAATAGCATTACGTGGGAGAAACTAGACTGTCACAGCCATTAAACCCACTGTATGTTCTTTAGTTTTCCACCACAACAGTCCCTGTTCCAGCCAGATGAGTAGATTCAAAAACGATGCACCTTTACCTCGGCTGCAGACAAGGAAACAGTTTTACCTCTATACAAGCAACATGGAGCAGGATAGATCCATTATATGAACTTATATGCCTTTCTTAACTATGAGTGTGTCTTTAGATCGTCACTATGACAACCCCTTTTACGCCCAGATGAGTAGATCCAATATTAAAACAGCTTTACCTCACGTATCTATCAACTAAAGGAGTGCACTTCGGAAAGCAAACGGAGAACATACAGCAGACAACATGAAGCCAAGAAAAACCATGGTTTTGCCTTTTCCTGTGCAGTTTTTTCTCTCTTTCCTTACTCTGGCTTTTTCATGGTTTCTCTTTTATTTCTTTTTCGGCGAGTATGTGTGTGCTTTTGTCTATTTAGTAAGTTTACCAAAACACAAAAATGAAACGTAAGTTACATAACCCATTGAGACATTCCAACAATGAAACAATTTTACGGCCTATATCAAGTAACTTGGAGCACAATAAATCCGTTAAAAACTTAAAATCCATTTGTCAACTATATTTACTTTGGTTTGTTTGGGGTACCCCTTTCGTTTGTTCTTGCAGCTTCCTTTGTGCTATGCCTCTCACTTGTGGTCGAGCGCCAGCTGCCCACACCCCCGTGTGCCTTAACGGCACACTTGCACGTCATGAAAGGAGGCAGAGTAAAGGGGGAGTTATATGTGCGTGTGTTGTCATGTTCGGTATACACAGCAACGCAACAACACAGCAAAACAGACAGCAAACTCGGACTACCATATCAGTGGTCACTTCAACTGCCTTACAATAACTAAATCAACAGCCACCCGTCTGAAGCAAACATAGGAACTCTGCCGATCGGCAGGAGCTTATTGTTTCAATACATGAAACGAGATGGCAGCAGTTGCCTGCGCGGGAACGACTCGCACAAAGAGAGTCAGGGGGGATGAACTCACCCTTCCTCAAGTCCTTAACCGTCAGGGACCCATCCACTCCACTGGTTTGCTCAGCAGCAGATGCTTGCACACTGTTGTAGGTCTTCACCATATCCTTCAGGCTCGTCATCGCTGCAGATAAGTCTTCTCTTTGCAATTCAATTGCCCGAAGGAGGGCATCCCGATGTTTCTGCTCTGAGAAGACATAACAGCAGCGCGATAACATACTACTCAGAACCGCTTCATTATCACTAAAAACTACAACAAGGTGCAGGGACCAGCAAGAGACAAAAGGGGAGAAGCACCCAAGCGGATTCTCAAAACAGCAACATCAAAATGCCGATAACTAGCGCTACCTCCCTCTACAACTAACCCCTCACTGACCCCTCCTGCCCCAGCATATCACCTCCCTCTCTGCCACAATAGTCTGCATCAAACCCTTCTGCATAACTAATCCAAGTTCTTGCAGTTTGTTTTTTTCCTGTTCTTCTTGCAACCCATCTTTTGACTACTTCCACCCCCATTGTTTTTCTTTGAACCACCAGTTCTGCGGGCGCTTCAAAATTGGGACAACTGGTATGGCAGGGAAGCAGAAACTTTTTGGTCCAACCGGTCGCAGCAGGGAGCAAAAAGTTGAAAAGAAAAAGAACAAAATGTGGATGTTTGCCGCCAGAGTTTGTTGTGCCATTGTAGTTTTCTTTTCTTTCCCTAAAAGATCAGCACCAAACCTACATGCCTGATATTTTTTCAGAATTTATCTGGAAAAATTCTGAGCGCACCAAATCATCGAAGTTGGAGCACTAGATTTTCGCATGCCAGCGAAATCATCGAAGTTGGAGCGCTAGATTTTCACATGCCAACACCAGCCCCCCAGGGCTGGTAGGCTGACAGCCCCCAGAGGCCCCCTGTGACACAGCGCACTCACAACATCCCAGTTTTCAATCGTTGGGCAGACTGGTGGGTAAAAACAAAAAAGGGGTGGGGGGTCACCCCTAAGATTATTGTATGTGATTCATCAGGGTTTGAGCTCATGACCTGTCATTCAGAAACTTGGGCTGGGTCTGCCGCTCCATTGTCCTCTCTAAGATGCTATATATCCTTGCCTTCTCTAACACCCCACACCCATCACCTTCTCCTCCAAGCACATAGAATGCATAACTCCTTGCTCTCTTTTTTTTTCTTCGTGTGTGTGTGTGTGTGTGGGGGGGGGGGGGGGTGCTCCTTGTTTCTTCCAGCTCTCAATCCAGGATTGGCCACTGCTCCTCTGGAGATTTGCGGTGATAGGCAAAGACAACACACTGGATGCCCACGGCCATCAACGTTCACCCAATATTCATTTCTCTGCCAGAGGGCCTCGCCACACCACTCTTTAAAACTCGTTTTCAAGAGTTCGGCTGTCGCCACACAACCTCTTGAAACCCTGAGCCAAAAGAAAAATTCAAAGGTGTCAGAATTCATCAACAAGTGTTTCAGGTCTCCTCCAGATGGGGATGAATCAGATCCAAGACAAAGGAGCAGCAGATGAAGTAGCGATACCATGGCTCTACAGGCTCCTCCCACCACAATGGAACCGGGGTTCGGACAACCCCCCCCCCCGACTTTCGAACAGCAGGTCGTCTCGAGAGTAAAAGGCGATMAGAGGAGAGTCAAGGGAGGGTTTAGGGTTTAGGGTTTTTGATCCCTGAGCATCTGTTGGTAAGACTGGCACAACTCAAAGTCGGGAAGGGACTACCAGCGGCAAACAGCTGCAATACACTCTGACCAGATACCTACGAGGGTTGGACACGACTGGGGTCTACATCAACGGAGGAATAGCCCAGAGACGGGCGGAGCCCTAAAGGCAAGGTTGGAGCAGGACTACAGTGAAAAAGAGGACAGTATATCAGTGAAGGAGAACAAGGGCCCTGAAAGACAGCGACAACCCTAGTCTAAGAGGGCCCTGAAGAGCCACAAGGGTCTTGGCAATGGTGATAAGACAAGGGATTAAGGTTTAAGGTTTTGGTGATGCTTAAGAGTGGGGGTTAAGAAAGATGGGATAGGGGATATTGAGGTAAGGAAGGAAAAGTCGTAATGGACTTCTTAGCTGGATGAGGGGCGGTTTCCGTCTAGAAGGCTCAGAGTCAATTGACAGATCGGGTACCCAGGTCTGAAAGGAAGGAATGAAACACGGCAAGCTGACAGTTAACTCTCCACCACAGAGGAGTAATCGATGCAGCTCAGAAAGGTAAGGCAAGGACTGTAAGGTTAGGAAATTTAGGAAGGCCATAATGCTGAAGGGGCAGAAGGGGCGGAGAGGTTAGAGAACGTGCTCTTTCTAGATACTATAGCCATATCTGGCAGATTCGGGCAGCGGATCTGAGAGGGAAGAGAGAGGCATGGCAAGCTGACAGTCAATCCTCCACTAAGATGGACTAATCAATGCTGCTCAGGGGTGCTTCTGCCAGACGGAAGGAACCGTGGAGTGTCATGATTGTAACGTTTATTCTGACTTGCCGGGGGAATAGGAACCGGACTGATGCTCCCCAGAATGGAAAGGAGTCAGGACCATAAGGTCCTGTTATTGTTAAAAAAAATTAAAAAAATAAAAAAATTATCTTCAAGAGGGAACTCTTGAAACGCTTTGGTTCCAAGCCAGCAACGACTGCTTGAAGGAGTCGTGATTCTCAAGAGCTGTCAGCTGAAACGGCTCACAAAAAGACAAAATTAAGTGTTTGTCCTTTCTGCACCTGGTTGGATCGCGCAAGCAGCACCCGTGCAAGAGTTCCTCTTTCAAGAGTCTGTGTGGCGAAGGGCCGAAAACGCTCAAAAACTTACGTCTTGAAAAGGTCTGACAGCTCTTGAAACATTTCACCATTCAGGAGTGGTGTGGCCAGACCCATAAAGAGCGCCCCGATGGGAAAGTTTAACAGCGCCAGGATTCAATTGCCTTACCTTCTGTTCTTGATGTGGCCATCTCTTTTGCCATCACGGTTACAGCAGAGGCTGCTGCAGCTGCAGCAGTGGCTGCCTCCTCAATCACGCTTGGCTTTTTTGTCTTCTGCCTGTTCTGATCAGACTCTCCATCATTGTCACTGTCATTGGAAGCGATGTGTCGTATCCAGGACTTGAGCCGCGGCAGGAAGTAATTCTGTTGTCAAAGCAGGATGGCAGTCCGCAAATCAGACCAACAATCACTTTCTTTCTTTTTTTAACGGTCCGACAAACCTCGAATCAGATATTAAAATGATGAGAACAAATGCTACACTTGATCTCTCATCTCCATCAAGCCCATCAATTCCAAGATGCTGCAATTGTTGAACACATTTAGCGCATACTCAGACGAGGGCCTCGAAATCGCAAAACCTCAAAATGAGTGGCCAGATTGACCCCTTGTAATAGGAGGACTGGGTCTGGCCGCTCATTTTGCAATTTTGCTATTTTGAGGGCCTAGTGTGAGTATGCCCTTAGTGGTCCAGATAGGGTGAGAGTTTGCTAGAAATGCTAAGGTTGTGTCAGCAGGACACCTCTCTTCCTTTTTTTTAGGGGGAAAGAAAGACAGTTGTCAACAAATCCTCATTTCTTATGAAAGGTCCAAATAGGGTGAGCATGTCTGGGCTTGTCAGCAGAGTTGCTCCGTACAAGAAATCACAAGACAGACTTCTTCCGCAAACTCATTTTGTAATACAATCTCACAAAGGTTCCACTGTACACCGACTCATCAATGCTTTGGTTCCATGCCAACGTAAAATACTAATCTGGCCTTTGAACATGGTAACCTGCCAGATGTCCGGACTGGGTTCCAGACAGTCAGGAACAACATGTGGGGGTCTGGTGTCCGGTCCGCAACATCCGGAGTGAGGCCCCCAGGGCACAACAAAAAAAGAAAAGAAAAAAAAAGGTGCGGCCCAGGACGCTTTTCGGGTCCTGGCCGCCCCCTGAAAAATAACGGCGTGAATTTTTGGTGTCATTTCACCCCACCCGACAGGGCCTAGAGGCCCGGACATAAGACATAAGGGGTGAATGCATTTCCTTCATTCAAAGTTCAAATTTCAAAGCTAATCAAACTTTTCTGAAAAACAATTTCTCTGTTTCTTTAGTCTTGTGCCTGCTTTGCACAGTTTGCAACTCTGCATGTCTGCTAGCTGAATGTGCTTGTTGATTTGCTGCAAGACAGGTGCTCTGCTGCCTGAACTACGAAGTGCAAAGCAGGTGAGTGCCTGCCAACACACCCAGTAAACTAACCAAACATTTTCTCAAAGGTCATCACAATATGTCCTTCAAAGAAGCCCAGTCCATCTCTGTCCACAGTGCACCCAAACGGGAGCGGCGTTTCCTTTAAAATATGCAGTACTGAGTATTCTAATTTCTAATATATTGTCACATATCTATGAACTAGAAGAGCGCACTTTGCGAAACAAACCGTAAAAATAAAAATTAAAAACAAGACAAACATGAAGAGAACACTGAAACAATTCATTTTCCTCTTTCTTCTTTTAACTCCCCCTTCACCGTGCCTCTCTCGTACAAGGCTCGTCCCATTGATGAATACATATATTGTCATTGAGAACTGTCCAGTGAACCATAGGCAGAGAGGGAGAAGAGGACAACAAACGAGGTGCTGTGACAAATTTCCATAGAGTTTCAACAACTCATCATGCATCTACACATAGATAGTTAATAAAGCAATGAACGGCTAACACCTCTCTCAAACAGCAGAGAAAAGAAGCATCAGCTGATCCGGTGGCAGAAAGAGAGAGAGGAGAACCGAAAACGGGAGCCTGTTGACAGTTCCATTCATCCAAGTTTCACCGACACATTAAACTTTCGACGACCCATTGTTGCAAGGCTGAAACCGTCTGCACAGCCCCCCACCTATCAAAGTTTCAAGACATAATTCTCCTTGATCGGAAAAAAAAAAAAACGAAAAAAAAAAAATGAAGAAAAGGTACTACCACCTACCCCCACAGCAAAACCTGGAATCCAGGCCAAGGTGCCAAATTCGTTCAGGCTGCAGGGGCTTTTGCTCAATTGATTCAAAAACATGAGGCAACCGTCACGTTGCCACCTACCCCCACAGCAAAACCTGGAATCCAGGCCAAGGTGCCAAATTCGTTCAGGCTGCAGGGGCTTTTGCTCAATTGATTCAAAAACATGAGGCAACCGTCACGTTGCCACCTACCCCCACAGCAAAACCTGGAATCCAGGCCAAGGTGCCAAATTCGTTCGGGCTGCAGGGACTTTTGCTCAAGTGATTCAAAAACATGAGGCAACCGTCACGTTGCGGTTACCCTCAGGCGCATTAGCATCTATAAATTCTCAACGTCGAGCCACCATTGGTATTGTTTCAAATGAGAATCATACGAAGTGTAATTTTAGGGAAGCAGGGCAAAGTAGATGGTTAGGAAGACGACCCGTCGTTCGCGGTGTTGCTATGAATCATGTAGACCATCCTCATGGCGGAGAAGGACGTACAAAAGGAGGCTGAAGATCCGTTTCTCCTTGGGGAAAACCAACAAAAGGTGGGTTTAAAACAGTAGTAAGAAAACAAAAGAATTAAGTTATGTCACGATCTATATGGAAAGGTCCATTTGAAGATGCTTGTCTGTTGAAAAGGCATTCGCCTGTGCCTCGCCAGAGTTGGAAAATTTGATCCCATAGATCACATCACCCTCATGTAGACATATACACTATATACCGTATAGTATAATACTATATAGCGTGTACTATGATCCGAGGCATGGGCCTCGATAAGCGCTACTGGGCACCTATTTGCCACAGCGTCGGCCGCCCTAAGCGAAGGCAGGCCCGACGGAGCTTAAGAGGACTATTTCGGACTACTTCACAACTGGGGGGAAATTCAGGCAGTTGCGCAGCGTCAGTTGGTTGGAAGCGCCCAGGCCCTGGTTCCTTTTATCAAATGAATCTGAGTCAGGCCCTGGGCGAGATTCGCAGCATAGGCCCAACTGAGGCTGTGGGCAGTTGGGCACAGGTAACTGTCGGTGGCCCAGGGCCAATTCGTTTGGTCTGAGGCTCAGCTTCCTGGGGCCTACCGGAAGCTTCTTGGGATCGGCCCAGCGCAGCCTGGGACAGAACGTAGGCAGGCCACTTCCATATAGCAAAGGGCCTGCCTCCGCATTCGGCATTAGCGTGCTGGCTGCACGCTGCGCAAGCGCTGCTGCGCTGAAGCTGGCTAGCGCTCACGTGCTCACGGGCAAGCAGGAAGGAGCAGGCAGCCATAGCCGAGCTGCGCTGCTGTGAGCTGGGTGTGGCGCAGGGTGGTCCTTGGGTGCATGTGGCATCTGTGTGTTGGGGAACGAGGTTGAGAGTGATACGAGAGACATACCTGGTGCTAGAAGCGACGGCATTGTCCGAGATCTTGCTCGTACTTCGGTGAAGCTGTTGACGTCATCCGGCGGCATTGTAGAGTAGGCTAGATAGGATCTGCCATCTGTAGTCTGGGCGCCGAGCGCCAGATAGGATACCAACATTGGTTCTTCGTTGATGATGATGATGAGACTATTCCAGCATTGTCAATTATGAGCTCTTGGTGTGTTCTTATTTGGTGAAACTCGCGATGCAATTCTTCTGTTGGTTCCAGGTCACGACTATCTGGTCTTATGAGTATGATGCTGTTTGATTTCTGAAGTTCGCTATCGCTCATCTTCCTTGCAATTTGGTATCGGAGCTGTGGTACGTTGCGCTCATCTGGCGCTTGTCTTCTGCCTATGCGGTACATACATGCGGTCTGCTTGGTGAGTGAGGCCGTAGGTGGTGTGTAGTGAGGAGGGCGGAGACAAGGAGTGGCGACCCAGGAGGTGAGGGGATCGCCAGGAAGGCTACGGTGCGTATATTGGGTGTTCGCAGTGTGATGAGAACTATCTGGTGGTTGATTGATGCTGAGGTGGAACGGCGAGATAATGCTGGTTGTGCCGATGCAGTGACTGGTCATCGCAATCGCCATCAGGTCATCTGGTGAGAATATCTGTGGTTGGGGGCAGCTATAACGAGGTACGTTGCTCTTAACCTTATCTACCCTCTTCATCACTTCTTACCGTGAGGTTGTGAGTTCCTTCTTGAGAGTCCTCTCCTTGTGAGGTGTCGTGCGCTCAACCTTGAGAGTCGGCATCGTTCACGTGGAGCATCTGGAAGGAGAGGGCGGTGCTTTCTGAAGGGCCCTGGACGAAGCACTGGGTCACGGTCACCATGCCAACCCACTGGGAGTAGAGCACGCATGCTTTGCTGCTTTGTCCTTGTCTGCTTGCTGCGCTCATAGAAGGGGTACTGAAGGGAAGGCCAGCCCTATGGGAGAGACGAGTACCGGGCGTCTATAAATAAACACCGGCTGGGGAAACCGTTGGCTGTGATCGTCGTCCTGCTGCGACGTAAAATGATTCCTGATGACACTTGGGGGCGGTCGTTAAACGGCCTCTTGATCAGCCAATCGATGCGAGGCTCGCTGCACGCGAGGATAAACACAGTGCAGGGCTGGCCAGCTCAGCAGCTACTCGGGGCACAGGGGTGGGCCGAGTGCACACCTTTAGTCACGCATGCCAAACCGGATTGCTCAGGGACGCTGACGTCAAGTGACACTCAAGGGGAATTGGGGAAGGGGTAGATTCCAGGTGATAAGTTTGAGTAAGATCCCATGCTGTGAACAGACCAAACAAACGATTCTATTTTTATATTGATTAGTTAGATGTACAGCCATTAACATCTGACAGACAGCATTAGTTAGAACTGTTTTTGTTCCTTGTGCTTTCTGTTTGCGGACTAATCAAAGTGAAATAGTCTGCCTTTGTAGGAATCTGAACTTACCTGTTGATCCCAAATGTATCTACTCCGAGAAAGTCACCAATTAATTATTTATTTATTTTAAATTGGTCTGGGCATTACGCTGTGGTAGGCACCTAGAGTAGTCTAGTACAGATTGTGCTCAGTACTGTAGCTTATGAGCGACAGGGAGGACACTAGAGAGGACGACCGGATCTTGCGATCGGCTAGACGCCCGATTGCCCATTTGGCATTAGGTCCAGAGGGTGACAGATACCTGTTCTGCCAGCGTAGGGAGAGGCAGCAGCAGCAGAGGAGAGCTAGAGCAGCAGAGGCCAGCAGGGCATTCGTAAATGAAGCCGCAGCTTCAGCAGCCAT